CACCATATGCACCATATGGAGGCCCCAGAACTCAAGTGTGTGGGGTTGACAGGAAGGTGCTCACCGGTGTTGGGGGCTCTTCTCCTCTCAATGCATCGCTGATCTCCGCAGCCGCTGCAAGCAAGGCATGGCCATGCAAACTGATGAGATAAGTCACAGCCACAGTGCAGCAGACCAAAGTAACCAAAGCCGCATGCATGTACCTGCTGCCACAGGCATAGTATTGCTACTTTCACGTGATGGCCATGCTTACATTTCCCGGTGTTGATGAGGCGATGGAGGCGCGCAACAGGCACGTGCGGATATGCGTCTCGCAGAAATTGGAGCGTTTGATAGCGCTCTGTCCCGTCGATCTGTTGCCCTGGATATTCAGTATGGCGCTGTCCAAAGTCACCACCAACACCGCCATCATCATAGTCGTCATCATCGTCGTCGTCATCATCATACACACGGCCACCGCGATCATCATCATCATCATCATCATCATCATCATCATCATCGTTGTCGTCGTCGTCGTCGTCGTCGTCATCGCGATCGTTGTGTGGGGAGGCGTGCGAGTCATCCAGGGCTGACTGCAGCAGCGCTTGCTGCAATGCAAAATCCTCGTCATCACCAGGCGCACCAGAGGTTGCTGCAGGGTTGCCATGTGCACTGTGGTCGTTGAAACGGGCATCATCATCACCATCATCAGCACTCGTGTCCATTAGTGGACTTGCCTCCATTTGCCTCCATCCGTGCCCCGAGCCAGCACCGCCCGTGCCAATACCGTCTCCACCATATCCACCACCATTCCCACCACGGCTGACACGGTCATCATTCAAGTTCTCGCGGCCATCATCATCATCATCATCATCATCATCGTCATCATCATCATCATCATCGTCATCATCATTATCATCGTCATCATCATCCACGGACATGGAAGGTGTAGCGGCACGGTGGACAGGTGTGGTGGATGTGGGGGCGGGCGTGTCTCCCGTGCCAGGGCCATCTGCAGCCGCCACCGCCTTGAATGTTTCGAGAAAATCCAGCGCTTCAAGCACAGACCCTTTGCTCTGGTGTGATGAGGGGGTGCAAAGAGGGAAGGGTATGGGGAAGGGCGTGCACATGTGCATGTGAGAACAGTAAGTTGTGAGTCGAATGGACACAAAACAAATGTCACTCAACGAGTCAAAGGATCGTATGTACCATACACATATGCGTGCATGTAACGTGATGGATGGATGCGTTGCGCATGCGTCACATCCACCTCACTGCCGATCAACGTACACACTGGATGGCCCGATCAAGGTCGTGGTTGTCCTCGAACCCCATTGCAATCAGCTGCTGCTTCATGGAAGCCGCCGACATGTCCATTCCTTCCCCACCCATGTGCACACCATGTGCATCTTGGCTCGCTTCACCCCGATCACCATGCTGATGCGCTTGACGTGGTTGATCAGCGTCGTCATGATCGTCGTCGTCACCATTGTCATCGTTGTCGTTGTCGTCGTGAACGACATCATCTGCGGGCGCGGTGGGCCGGATTACGTGCGGGTAATGTGACGCTGTGCTCGCCTCCACTTCTTGGTCTTCGTCGTGTGCAGTGCCGGCAACGCTGCGCTGGGGATGCTCGAGCTCCCGTTCCTCGACACCAACAGCGCCAACAAGCGCCCTTGAACCGCCGTTGACCCGTGCTGCCACCGTTGCTGCAGCAGCCTGAGTGCCGCGATGACTGGCAGTGGCCTGGGTACTGACGCCACGATCTTGCTGCTGCCGTTGTTGTTGTTGTTGTTGTTGTTGTTGTTGTTGTTGTTGTTGTTGTTGTTGTTGCTTCTCGCGTCTGAGCCCTGCCACCAGTGCAGGCTTGAGCCGCTTTCGAAGGTCATCCATTTCTGCCTGTTGGCGCTTCAGGATCTTCACACCTGGCGAGATATGCCGCACGTGTCAAAACATGAGCGCGTGATTGAAAGTTGATACATTGAAATACAACCACAAGAGTTGCGTTCCAACTACACGCACGCATACACACAACTGACCCTTTTCGTGGTGCTCTCTGAGCTCCCGTTTGTGCTGTTGCTGCAACTGGTGTATCTGTGCCTGCACCACGGCCATCGCTTGCGGAAGCTGCGTCCACTGCGCTGGGGCGTCTGCTTGTTGTCATCGGGAAGAGGATGGAAGGTAATAAATGATGTGCAAGAAAGCAAACAAATTATCGCTGCGGGAGTTGTTATGGGTTCGCGCGCGCGCAAACACACACACACACACACACACACACACACACACACACACACACACACACACACACACACACACACACACACACACACACACACACACGCACACACATAGACACACACACACGCACACACACAAGCCACATGCACTCACCGACGTCGTCATCGTCATCACCATCATCATCGTCATTATCATCATCATCATCATCATGGATCGTGGTCGCCGCAGCGGTGGTGGGAGGAAGCGACTGGCTTCTCTTCCTCCTCTCTGCTGTTGCCTTGATGTCGTCGCCAGGGCTCATGCTGTGACGCTGCTGCTGCTGCTGCTGCTGCTGCTGTTGGGGGAGTTGGTGCCTGTCTGGGGACGTCCGAGTTGGCCGGTACGGCTGGCGCTCCACGGCAGCAGCAGAAGGGCTGCGGCTCTCCCCATGTGCACTGTGCTGTCTGCTCGCCCGCCGCTGTGCACGCAGCTGCTCCAGATGCGCGTGTGCGCTTTCGTCGCTGCTTCTCACACCTTCGCGGGCACTGTTGCAGCTGGCTGCGTCATGGGCGTGCCCGTTGCCGTTCAGATGCTGTGACTGCTGCTGCTGCCGTTGCTGTCGTTGTTGTCGTTGCTGCTGTGTTGATGATGTGGAAGGTGATGATCCGGTAGAAGATGACGTCGGCTGGGTGCGATCGCGCGACTCGCGCCCATCACTGCCCGTGCTCGCGTGTCGCGAACGAACAGCACCGGTGACCAGCGCTTTCCTGTTGTTGAGCAGCGTGGCGACCTTGCGCCGCACGGTCTCGATGGGCTCGTACTTGTCGCGCATACGCCGGATCTGGCACCCGTCCAATGGTGAACACGAGCGCGTGGAGCAAGATACCACACAGAGATGGGCGTTGAGGCGCAAAAGGCACATGGAGGAGAACAAGAGACGTGAGTTCGTCGGGCGACAATGGTCGCATGTATCAAAGGATGCGCGCACGCACAGTAGAGCGCACAAAGGGTGGCGAGAGTTGCATGAACATGAACAGGTGCATACACACAGCGTCCTACATACACAGGCAAACAGACAGGCAGGCATACAGACAGACAGACAGACAGGCAGGCAGACAGACAGACAGACAGATAGACAGACAGACAGACAGACAGGCAGACAGATGTACCACGTGCTCGGGCACTTTGTGCTTGTTTCGCTCCGTGCATGCTTGGATATCATCTCGCCACTCCGTCTGCGGCTCTTGCACGTCCACGTTGTATCCGTTTCGAATTGCCTGTTGCGCATGATGCAAACACCCACGTGTGAAGCACTGGGAGGACCATGCATGTTGCGAACGGCACGGTGTCACAGCACTTTGAGATACAAAGTACACGGTCATGCATGACCGTGCACAGCCGTGAGCCACCACACAACACACGACGGAACACTGCGGCACAATGTAAAGGAATACCACACGATACACGACGGTGCACGACAACGACTTCACCATCTCAACGTAGGGCTGGAGCTCCCAGAACTGCACGTTGGTGTTGTCGACAACAACGAGTGGCACACGGCGCTGCATGGCGTCCAGCGCACGGGTACGTGCAGCCTCGTGCGCATGCTTCACGTTGTCAGCGTTGTACTCGTAGCCCCCATTCTCGTCTTCAAAGAAGTGGTCAGCGGATACAACGACGGGCGCTGCTACTTCTGGCGTCGCCATTGCCGGCGCAGCAGCAGTGCCTTCATCTTGTGCGTCCGTGTGGGCTGACCTGTCCTGCAGTTGCTGCAGTTGCTGCAGTTGCTCTGGTTCTTGTTGGGTTTGGTGGCTGAGGCGCCTGCGCTCTTGCGCGTGGCGCTGGACGATGGACCGCACGAGTGTGGACTTGCCCGAGCCAGGCAGCCCACGCAGGATGACGAGCTGTCGGGCGCTTGTCTTTGGCCTGAGCATTGTCGGGTGGTGTGCATCCGTCATATCCGTGCGTGTGGGGTGCGTGCGCGTGAGTCAAACTGACACACTTCTTGTTCTGTCCGCAACACGCCTGCAATGACTGTGCGTTTTTGTTCCCTTTGTTTTGTTTTGTGTGTTGTTGTTGTTTTGTTGACGATGGTGGTGGTGTTGTTGTTGTTGGTGGTGGTGTTGCTGTTGTTGATGATGGTGGTGGTGTTGATGTTGTTGTTGTTGTTGTGTTTGGCCTGTATTCATGTCACAGTCACCTCACACGATGTCACATGATGTCACAGCTTTGTGTCGTTGGACTGATGCAAATACAATACAATGTGTCACGGTTCTGCAGGGTAAAACAAACACGGGTCACACACGTGCACGCGTGTCCACAATCATGGCCCCGGGGATCCTGGGGGCTGAGTTGGGGACGGTGGGGCGGACTTGCCCGTCGTCAGCTGCAGCCGCAGACTCTCTGCCAGTCTCGTGGTTTCGGGATCCTGGCTCGCAAACGACGCGCGCCGTGACGACGACGTGCTGTCCGCAGCAAGGCTGTGTGTGTGTGTGTGTGTGTGTGTATGTGTGTGTGTGTGTGTGTGTGTGTGTGTGTGTGTGTTTGGTGTGTGTGTTTGAGGGGGTTGAGGGAGGGGGTTGAGGGAGGGGGGCGGAAGAGACATTCGCAAATTCACAAGCTCAGAAGCACAGGCACAAATATCAGAACACCACTTCGGGTGTGCGCATATGCACACATGCACACACACACACACATACACACAAACTTGCGTACACACAAACTTGCGTACACGCACCGGGGGGGGACGAGGGAGCGGGCTGACCCCGTGGCGTGAGGGTTGCAGAGCGAGTGGAGACTGTCAC